AACAACGAACGAATCCAACAACAGCTCTTCTCTCTCTCTCTCTCTCTCTCTCTCCTTTCTCTCTCTCTCTCTCTCTCACTCTCTCTCTCTCCCTCTCTCTCTCTCTCTCCTTTCTTTCCAACGACGGTTGTTCAGTCGATCTCTTGCCTTCGAACTCTCAAGACGTTTCAAGTGTTATCTCCTTGTATATATATATATATATAAAGGATATTTTTATTATCGCATACACGTTTTGGTGGTGAATTTTCCATTTCTCTTTTAATTTTTTCTTTTTCTGTTTTTCTTTTCCCTTTTCTATTTTTTCTTTTTATTTATTTCTTTCTTTCTTGTCCTTCCGTTTGTTTTTCTGCTTTTTCTATCGGATCGTACGCGACGAAAAAAATTTGCTCGCGCCGAGTTTTTCTGATAAAGCCAGTTTTAGTAATTATTTTTTATTTATTTATTTATATTTATATATATATATATATATTTTATATCAATTTTAATATCTCCGATTTATTTTGTTTTACGATTGGATTTCTCCTTTTTTTTTCTTTTTTTTTTGTGATCGTTATATCATTGACGTTCCATGGTTCGAGATCGATCGGTCGTGATCGGCGTTGACAAATTTTGTTTTTTTTTCCATCCATACGTTTATGCATCCTGGACGAGACGTAAGATTGAAGTGAATATTATTCTTTTTAAAAAAAGATATATATATATATATGTGTGTGTGTGTATGTGTGTGTATATATTTATGAAGGATCAATTTTAAGTGCATCGTTTCAATACTAATACGTTTTTAATATCGTTATATACAAATGAAAATATATATATATATATATATATATATATATATATATATTGTAAATTACAAAAAATAATATATTGCATATAAATTATGTAATAATGTACCATTAATAATACTGATCGACATTAAAATATATCGGCAAAGAATTAATTTCATATTTAATGCCATAAAGAAAAAGAGAGAAAAAGAAAAAGAAAAAAGAAAAAAAAGCAAATAAAATAAAAATAAAAGTAAAAAGATAAAGGAAAGAGGAAAAGAAAAAAACGAATTTCGACGAGAAACAATGCGAGAAAAAAGATCTAGATTACGTGATGTTCGTACGAATACGATCGTAAATCGTGATCCACGTAAAATGTCTAGATTAGACGGAAATCATTTGAAATTAGGTATATCGAGTATTATTATACCTAATAATTCTCAACGTTTTTCGACTATGTGCGTAAATTATTCCAACGAGATGATACATTATACTAGAAGATCGAAGAGTGGTCTTTATTTGGAAGAGATCTATAGAAAGGATCAAGATTTTGATAACCTTTGTAACTCGTCTTTACTGTTGGGGTACGTTTTTAAAACCAGAAATCTCTTTTTAAAGAATCGTTTTTAGTACAGTACGCCATTCTTAAAGAAAACGAAAGGGTGCATTTTTAATTCGAAACCAAAAACGATTTTATTTCTTGCACCAGACTACTAAGTTTTAAATTATTATATATATATATATATATATATATATATATATATATATATATAATAATTATAATATTTGATAAACATTTAATATAAATATTTAATATAAATAAATTTAATTCTTTATTATATATAATTTTATTATCTAATATAATAAAAAAAAAAGTATTTATAATTAAGAATATAATTAATAATATATATATATATGTGTGTGTGTGTGTGTGTGTGTGTGTGTGTGTGTGTGAATGAATGAATGAGTAAATAAATGAGTGAATATATGACGATCTATTTCGATAAACGAAAATAAGTAAATAGAATTGAAAAAAAAATAAAACTATAGTCTCAATCTGATTTATAATTTTATCCCTTTTTATAAATGATTTTTTCTTTTTCTTTTTTTTTTTTCTTTGGTTTTTTTTTTATATCTCAAAAAAAAAACTTATTTTTCTTTTACATATAAATAATATTAAATAATATTCATATTATTAAAATTATTCTAACAAAATTGTCAGAGAACATTTTTTTTTCTTTTGCACGAGAGTTTGATTATTAATTTAAAACAAAAAAAAAAAAAAAAAGAAAAGAGAAAGAAAAGAAAAAAAAAGAAAAGAATAGAAAAAACATATATAGATTAAAAATATTAATATATCCTTTTTAAATGCTATCACTTTGTATGTTACATATATATATATATAAAAGTTACGTATATAAAAGTAATACCTAAAGACTAATTACTATACTCTAAGCTTCGTGAGAGAAAGGTGATTGTATGAAACGTTTGAAGGATAGAATTACAAGGTGGGAAAATCGTTCAGTACTTATTATCAACGTTTTCATTATATTCTTTCTTTTACTTATTTTTATATGAATTAACTTGACATCGTTAAAACATCGAGTAAATGGGTTAAATGTCTTTTTTATTTTTTTATTTTTTTTGTTTTGTTTATTTCTTCTTTCTTTCTTTCTTTCTTTCTTTTTTTTTTGTTATTCTCTCTCTCTCTCTGTCTCTCTCTCTCTCTCTCTCTCTCTCTCTCTCTCTCTCTCTCTCTCTCTCTCTCTATCCTCATCTTTATACCTTTCTCTTATTTTTCTTAAGATATAGAAAAGTTCTCTCGTTCTTTTTGAAAACTTTTTCGTTTGAAATTCACGCATGGTTGGTACCTTTTATTGCTAAATGTATCGGACACCCTGTGAATAATCGCTCGCACCTGGCGACCAAACCACGAATTCTCTCTCTCTCTCTCTCTCTCTCTTTCTTTCTCTCTCTTTCTCTCTCTCTTTCTCTTTCTCTCTCTCCCCCTCTCTTTCTCTCTTTGCGATTATGAAAACTATATATTATTGATTTTGGAGAACGTATAGGAAAAAAGAGAGAGAAAGAGAGACATAGAGAAAGAGAGAGAGAGGGTGAGAGAGAGAGAGAGAGAGAGAGAAATGGGCTTTGAGTTGAGAATCGGTGATTATGAATATGATCTAAATCAATAATGAACGAATTTTGTTCTCCTGTAATGAGCCAAAATTGAAAACTTTAATATTCCGAATTCAAATTCGCTCGACATACGTGATATTAAATATCCTATTTGATATTTATATTATATATTATCAAAGAGAAGAATGTTTAATTTATATATAATACGATTTATATGGGAATTTTTTTAATTAATACGACATATATAGATATTTGTTATTTTTCCTTCGACATAGATTCTTCTTTTATTTGACCTTTCTTTTTTTTTTTTTTTTTTTTTTTATTTTTTTCCGTTAATACATTATTTTGATGTCGGATTGTATATGATGAAGCTGCGATTATAATTACAAGTTTTTTTTCTCTTTGTCTTTTTTTTTCTTTTTTTTTTTTTTGTATCGATTGAAAGTGATTTAAAAAAGGGTAAAAAAAAAAATACAACTTCAACGCTGTTGAACTTTTAATGTCGTATATGAATGGAGAAATTACTCGATCGATTTCAAGTATTATTATATAATAGAATGGAATTTTTATAATGAACAAAGTTTCACATTGCGATCTGAAATGTTAATTTTAACTATATAATACGTTTCTCATTTTGAAATATATATATATATATATATATATATATATATATATATATCTAATATACAAATAATATACTTGCATTTGAAGACAACATTTTTATTGGAATTATTTAAAAATTATTTTATTAACTTTTCTTTTTCCTACTTTTTTTTTTTAACACAAAAAACATAATATATATATATATATATATATATTTTTTTTTTTTAATATCTCAAATGACTTTTATATATCGCCACTTTCATAATAGACGGTTTCGCTTATCTAATCTTTTGGTATAAATACAAAATAAAATAATGAAAAATTGAAAAAAAGAAAAGGAGAAAAAAAGAAAAGAATAAAAATTATGATATCGTCATGTACATACTCGGGAACATTATCTACCAAGGACACTTTTTCATTTAGGATCGATCGATGACCATCAACCAACCATCGTGTGTCGAAACAATAGGTACTTCCCTCTTTCTCTTCCTTTTTCTCTCTCTTTTTTTTCTCTCTCTCTCTCTCTCTCTCTCTCTTTCTCTCTCCTCCCTCCACTCCTTCTATCTTTAAATAATGAACGAAAGCTCCGAGAAAATTGCATTTGCTAATCACGCGAAGCGGATATTAAAAAAGAGAGGCACGTAACTAGCGTTTTTTAAATGAGATAATAAAAAACGTGGAATAGATATAATCACGTTGACCTTGAGTTTGATTATCCTGTTTCCACGCCCTACCTAGAAATATATATATATATATATATATATATATGTATATGTATATATTTAAAGTGGACTTAAAGTGGATCTTACAAATGATTTCCTTTTCTTTTTTGTTTTTTTTTTCTTTTCTTCTTAAATAAATTTAAGTATTTATATTTATAAAATAGTCGTGAAATTATCATTGTGAAAATTAACGTATGCAAGTAAAATACGTCGATACATCGATATTTGATTTGTAAACTGAAATCAAGAGAAATCCAATTAAGACGAATTTCGTGCATCTCATTATTAATAATAATAATAATAATAATAATAATATTATTATTATTATTATTATTATTATTATTATTATTATTATTATTATTATTATATATTAATATGTGCAAAAAGTGTAATATTATAATATGACATTAGTATTAGACTGGTGGTAGATTATAATATTAATACTAATAATATTAATATATATTAATAAAATATTATATCACAATATTATACTATAATATACCTTTTAATTATATTATACTAGTATATAACATTATAAATTATACAATATATTATCAACAATCATGTACAATTACTATCTTACAATCTGTTAATATTATATTACATCATCAAAAATATATTAGCTTTTACATATATTATATAAATATATTATAATATTCTAATGATAATCTAAAAGTATCGAATTAGTTGACAGATTTTTAATTAATACAGATATATACAAACATGCATATATACCAAATATAAATTTCATTATTTTATTTTTTCTTTGTAGTTTTCCGCAAAAAATGGAAAGGCCGTCGTCGCACAGTTCGAACGTTAATCAAATGCACGGAGGTGCCAATATACATGGCATTTATTCATCTGGAAGTCAGACCAGTCTTTCAACGTCCTATGTTACTGGGCAATCTTATATGCAGGGACAAAATTACGTACACGGTGCATACTCATCACCAAACGTACATGCAGGCTATCCGCATACGAGTTACTCTCAACCACAAAGTTATGGTACAATGGTACAGGGATATGGTGGACAACCCCAAATGGGTTATCAACAGAATCATCTTAAAAAGGGAACCGTACGAAACGGCGACGTCTTGAAGAGATGCAGACTTCAAACTGCGTAAGTCTCTTTTGTTGAATCCTTTCTTTTCTTTTTCTTATTTCTTTTTCATTTCTTTTTTTTTTCGTTTTTTTTTTCCTTTTAATTACCGTCTCATTATCTTTTCTTCCATCTTCGTTGATTTATCTAACGAGAAAGAACAAGGAAGATACATTTGTAATATTTAAAAGTCCGCGAGCACAATATGAGAGTGCAGACTACTTCTTCCTGACCCAAAATCTTGAAGGTTTTTGTCTCTCTCTCTCTCTCTCTCTCTCTCTCTCTCTCTCTCTCTCTCTCTCTCTCTCTCTCTCTCTCTCTCTCTCTCTCTCTCTCTCTCTCTCTCTCTCTCTGTCTATCTTTGTCCCTTTCTCTTTCTCTGTCTATGTCTCTGTCTCTGTCTCTCTCGTTACTCTTCTTACAAGATACACAAGTCGAACGAGTCGATCCGATCGATTACGGTCTTGACTTACTTTTACGGTTGTACTTGCTTACTCGCCAAGGTTTGATCACGTTTTTATGAAAGAACGATTCAAGTTATGCGGGTGAAGAGAAAAAGATAGATAGAAAGAGAGAAAGAGAGAAAAGCGTCCGTGAGACGCTTGTTAAAAGGTCGACCCAATTAGCAGTGAAGATGTCGGCTGGTAAGGTGAGATGAGATGGGATGGGAATGAGAGTGGGAGGAGTTAGGACAAGGATAGGGAGATACTTTTAAGGTCGAAAAGAAAGAAAAGTAAAAAAGGTTCTTCTTCTTTCTTCTTCTTCTTCTTCTTCTTCTTCTTCTTCTTTCTTCTTCTTCTTCTTCTAAGTACTCGACTTTGTATATCGTTCGACAGGTACGAACTATCTCAGGACCTTCTTGACAAGCAAATCGAGATGCTCGAACGAAAATATGGTGGTGTTAAGGCAAGGAATGCCGCATTGACGATACAACGTGCGTTTAGGAGGTACACGCTGTTGAAAAAATTCGCTGCGATAACGGCAATGGCTAAGGCGGAGAAAAGATTGAGCAGAAAATTACAAGATCCGGTTGATCGTCCAGTTAACGCCAATGATCACGAAAGGATGGCCTATCACAGTCAAATATATATACAACAGAGTCAAACGGCTAATAGACCAATGCCTATAAGGAGTATGTCGCTTAGGGAGAGGAGACACGTCGATAATTCTCAATCGCCAATACCAAGAAGTCAAAGTGGCAGGTGTGAGATTCAAATAGGTGGTGGTGGTGGTGGAGGACATCAACACGTTAATCATAGCTTGCATCAAAGTGGTAGGCATACACCATCTTTGGCACCTAGCCCGTGCAACAGACATCAGCCTTTACCTCCTAGCCCTTGCTGGGAATCGAGTTCTCAAGAGAGTGGCTCCAGCATCCATTACTACAATCCACAGGTAACTTAACAATCGATAGTAGTAAATAGTAATAGTAGATGATAGTAGTAGTAGTAGTAGTAGTAGTAGTAATAGTAGTAGTAGTAATAATAATAATTGTAGGAGTAGTAATAGTGGTTGTGGTACTTCTAGCGATAGTAGTAATAGTAGTAATAGAAGTAGTGCTGCTAATAACGGTAGGTAGAAACGTCACCCTCGGCGGACCTTGCCGGGCTATCGGTTTACTTACGAATAATATTGATACCCGTCTACTTCTCTCTATCGCCTTGAAATTCCGTTAAACTATCGGTATATAGAATATAAAATATAATAGGCGCGTAAAAATGTTCTTATATGAAATCCCTTCTTTCATTCGTAAATCGATCCTTTTGTGTTGAGATATCTTATTTATCTTATATACATTCCAAACTATTTTATATATATACATATATATTCTTATAATATATATATATATATATATATATATATATGTATGTATATATCCCTTATGTCGAATCAATTCGATTAATTTATCTTTGTAGTTCGAGTCTATAGTCTTGTTGTTGTTTAATCGTTTTTAGGATACCTTGTGTGGTCTTAGACAAGATACACCCCCTAGAGATTTACTTCGAACGCCATGCACTTCTCCGTCTGGCCCACACAATCTTCAGACCCCGATATCGCAGAACTGGAACAACACGAGCCAACTTAGCTCTACCGGTAGATCCAGGGGTGGTTCCGGTAAGAAAGTACCACCGGAAGTTCCAAAAAGAACGTCTTCCATCACGTCGAGATCAATGGAACCGCGTCACAATGGTCTGAGCAAAAGCGTAGAAAACGGTAGCCTGAGCTCCGTCCAAAGTTCCGGTAGCGACTCCACCAACTGTGAGAGTTCCGAGGGTGACGCTCAGAGAGGGTCACCAGTATGGAAACACAAAGGAATCGTAAGATCATTTTCGCTTTGTTCATTTGCACATATATTCAAATGCATATATACACACATATATGCACATGTATATATATATATATATTTTTTTTTTCCAATTTTATTCATATTTTCCAATGAATTTCATTCGTTTAACGAGATTTTTCTTTTCTTTTTCTTTTTTTTTTCTTTTTTTTTTTTCTTTTATTCTTTCCTTTTGAAAAATTAGTCAAGTTCACCGGAGCATCAAGATTGTGCAACACATAATACGGACACTGGAACGATAATAAATAGCGTGAAGGATCTTGGACATTCCCATGCTAGTTCCAGTTATCAATTACCATTAATGGATCATGCCGATTCAATACCCCAAACAAGTTATAAAGTATCCGAGACAGTGAGGAAACGTCAATATAGGGTTGGATTAAATTTATTCAATAAAAAACCAGAAAGAGGAATAAGTTATTTAATAAGACGTGGATTCCTTGAGAACAGTCCGCAAGGAGTTGCGAGGTTTTTAATTAGTAGAAAGGGATTATCTAAACAAATGATCGGGGAATATCTTGGAAATTTACAAAATACGTTTAACATGGCGGTACTAGAGTAAGTTCTTATTTTAATTATTACATCAATTAAGAAGAAAGGAAATGCATATCGTTTTCGACGATCTCTCTCTCTCTCTCTCTCTCTCTCTCTCATTCTTTTTCATTTTTTTTTTTTTTTAGATGCTTCTCGCATGAATTAGATTTATCGGGGATGCAGGTCGACGTTGCACTGCGAAAATTCCAAGCGTATTTCAGAATGCCAGGTGAGGCACAGAAGATCGAACGTTTGATGGAAGTGTTCAGTCAACGTTATTGCCAATGTAATCCCGACGTTGTCTCGAGATTACGTTCGGCTGACACAGTATTCGTATTGGCATTTGCTATAATCATGCTAAATACAGATTTACATACGCCAAATTTAAAACCAGAACGTAGAATGAGACTCGATGATTTCGTTAAGAATCTCAGGGGTATTGATGATTGCGGTGACATCGATAAGGACATACTCGTTGGTATTTATGAAAGAGTCAAGGACAACGAATTTAAACCGGGCTCCGATCATGTGTCCCAAGTTATGAAGGTTCAAGCTACGATAGTTGGGAAAAAACCAAATATGGCATTGCCGCATAGAAGATTGGTCTGTTACTGTAGATTATACGAGATACCGGATATACACAAAAAGGAAAGGCCAGGGGTCCATCAAAGGGAGGTCTTTCTTTTTAACGATTTACTCGTTGTTACGAAAATTTTGAGCAAGAAAAAAAACAGCGTAACTTACACGTTCAGACAAAGTTTTCCACTTTGCGGAATGGTCGTGACATTATTCGAGGTTCCTCGTGAGTATTAATATCTTTATATTTATCAAAGATCGCTTACTCGTTGGTGATAATGTTTAAGGAAAAAAAAAAATAAATAAATAAATTAATCAATGAATCAATCAATCAATTAATCGACATATATTATTTTTTAATCGATCGTATAACATTTCGTAGATTATCCATATGGGATAAGATTGTCTCAGCGGGTTGACGGCAAGGTCCTAGTTACATTCAACGCAAGGAACGAACACGATAGATGTAAATTTGTTGAAGATCTTCGTGAGTCGATAAGTGAAATGGACGAAATGGAAACATTAAGGATCGAAACGGAATTGGAAAGACAAAAGAGTAGTAGAGGTGCTAGAGGGGGTGCAGAAAATAGAGATTCTGGTGTGGCCGACGTTGAAGTTTGTCCTTGTCCGGGACCATGTTCCGAAAGATCAGAAACAGTCGACATGGATACACAATTGAAACGTTCCGCTCTGAGTAACTCGTTACTAGATATACACGAACAATGTAAGAATTTAAAACAAAAATAAAAAAATATAATTAATGATTTCTATGTTTGTGTGCGTGTGCGTGTGCGTGTGTGTGTGTGTGTGTGTGTGTGTGTGTGTGTGTTTGTATAGTTCTCTAATTTTTTTTTCTTTTTTTAATTGATTAATAACGCATAAATTATTTATCATATGTATATATATTTTTCTTTTCTTTTTCTTTTTCTTTTTTGTTTGCAGTCGCTGGTGAGAAACCGCAACGCCGTGGGAGCGTTGGCTCACTAGATAGCGGTATGTCAATTTCATTTCAATCTACTTCTGCGAGCTCTATGAGCCAAGGTATTAAACATCCTGGACAACAAGTACATCCTGTTCATCCAGGTGCCACGATTCCTGGTGGTAGCAAAGGTCTCACTCAACAGCCATCTTTTTTAGGCGGGCTCTTTGCTAAACGCGAACGAAAGCTATCCCAATCGGATGATTCAACACCTTATAGCCGTACTACGGAAGTATAATGTATCCTTCCAATAGTATACATATAGTAAGATTACAAAATGGAAAATAATAATAACAACAACAACAATAACAACAATAACAATAAAAAAAGAAACCATATTAGGTTTTATTTTAGTACGCTTTGTGAAAATACTTGATTGTCATCTGGGATTATATAAATTACGATTATTAAAAAATATTATGATCGAACGAAGAAGAAAACAAAAAAAAAAAACAAAAAACAAAACAAAAAAAAAAAGAAAAAAAATAGAGAAAAAAATCAGCGTGAACATATAGTTTCGAATCGAAAATACAAAAAATCATTATCTTTATGTCATATGCCCGTTACAACAATAATCATTGTCTCTCGTCATCGTTATTCCATTTATTACAAATTTTAATTAATTTAAGTTAATCCTAATCGGTTTTTTTTTTAAATGATCATATTCTCTATGTAATATAATATTATAATTGGAAAAAAAAAATTGGAACACTTTACAATTGTATAATCATGCGAGTACATTTTATATTATTGTATCGTTATACCTTATAAATACGTATTTTCTATTAATTGAATTTCTCTAAGTCCGTAGTCACAATGTGTTAAGAAGTTAAAGCCGATTTGTGAGGATTTAAGATGCCGAAAGTTCCTGTATGGACCAAAAGTTTTGTAGATGATTTTATTTAGATCGATTATTCCTACTATGAGATCTTTCAGATTAATCTCTTTTCTTCTTTTTCTTCTTCTTCTTTTTTATTTTCTTCTTTTTCTTTTTCCTTTGTCCGAGATTGTAAAACTATCGAGCGTATCTTACACAATTCGAGCCCGTCTATGCATATATAACAGTCTCTAAAAAGAGTAACAGGGATATTTACAAAAAAAAAAAAAAAAAAAAAAAAAAAAAAGAAACACTTAGACACTTTTTTGGAAAACTGCCCGGGAACTTTCGTATTCGTAAACCCTTTGTATTTGGGAAAATGTTAGGAAGACAAAGAAAAAAAAAATTGAAACAAACAAAAAAAAAAAGAAAAGAAAAAAAGAAAAACATACGAAGGATCGTAATTAAAAAGAATTTTATTTAAAACTACGACACTGTTGTATATCGCGAAGCGCACTAAAAAAAGAAAAAGAATTGACAGACAGAGTTAGGAATACCCCTTAAAATAACTTATGAGAAAACATGTCGGTATATAAATTTATTGGATTGGGCAGGATCCCCAATCGTCGTGATCGCTTGGACGTTCTCTGACAAAAAAAAAAAAGAAAATTTTTAAAAACAGATTTTCCTCTATCGAAAATATGTGTATAGTATTTATTTGCCCTAATGTCTAACGCGCAGAAGGAACCTCTCCCTTTTCATATACTATATTTATAACATAAGGAAAGGATGATTTGTTTGTTTGTTTGTATATGTGTGTGTGTGTGTATGTGTGTGTGTGTGTGTATAAGTAAATGAGCGAGTGTATACATGAACGATCCATTTGTATTTGTATTGTAGATAATTATTACATTATTGTGGCACGTATATATCCATTATAATTAATTTGAAAAAAAGGATTTGTTTGATAAAGAAATGAAATAAATTCGATTTGTAAAAGGAATCTATTGATATAACGATAACGCAAGTATTATTGCTATTATTACTCATGCAATTGTAAATAATAATAATAATAATTATTACTATTATTATAATAAATAAATAAATAAATAAATAAATAAATAAATAAAGAAATAAATAAATAATTAGATTAACGATATATTCATTAATTGTTATTATTATTATATAATAACAATAAATTAATAATAATATAATAACAATAACAACAACAACAACAATGATAATAATAATAATAATAATAAATAATAATAAATAATAATAATAATAGTAATAATAATAATAAATAATAATAATAATAATAATAATAATGATAACGTGAAACAGTTACACATGTAATAATTCATCTATGTAATAAAAGCTTAAAGCGACGAATTGATAAGTAATCAGTGTTTTAGGTGCATGTTGATGTTTTAACGATTTTCTAACGATAATGCATTTTTTGGTGTGACACACTCATTGATCAAGATTATGAAAGTATAATGTATACATATACATATATATATATATATATGATTTTCATTATCGTAAGATAATACACTCAATTCATTTGAAAATCAGGGTCGAAGAGATATGTAGATATTATTTATGTTTGAAATGTAACACACATTTTTACATACTGCGTACAACATATACACCCATGTCTGGTAATTATATTACTTGTAGACAAATTTCTAATAATCAACTCTATTTATTAAATGTTAGAGAAAAAGAGAGAGAGAGAGAGAGAGAGAGAGAGAGAGAGAAAGAGAAGAGAAGAAAAAAGATGAACTTGTAGTAAACATTTAAGAAAAAAAAAAAAAAAAGAGAGAGAGAGAGAGAAATATTTCTGAATGCGACACTCTACTGTCAACACACACAACAAAGCAATATCTTTTTAACTATTGCATTTTACACAAATATTTT